TTTGTTCAGTCCACTTGTCAGGAAGATTTAGCAATTACCTGGTCTTTTTTTAAATTTACGCACACACACACACACACACACACACACACACACACACACACACACACACACACACACACACACACACACACACATATATATATATTTACGAGATAATTTTCAGGGCTAAATTACAAAAACAAACATACAAAAAAACAACCAACACAAACCCTTGCAGTCGAAACTCTGTAATTGAATTCCCTGACTATTGCAAAATAGTTATTTTACAAAATTTGATGCACCGTGCAACAGCTAACTCCTCTACGAAAAATATTTTTCACCCTTAATTATAGAAAAACTTAAAAGGACTCTCATTAATAATGACTTTCTTAATGACGTCATTGATGAACAAACAGTAACACTATAAAATAAACATATTTATCAAATAACCTTAAACATATAAAACGTAATCAAATGCATTTTAACTATAAATGTGTAAATCACTAAAAAGTCTCGTAAGTACTAATATATTTCACACTAATTCCAATTAAAAAATAAATACATATATATATATATATATATATATATATATAGGGTGCAGCATTTTAAAAGGTTGACAAAAGTCCAAGGTAACAATTAAAAAAGGGCTACAGTTATTATTCATTTTGTATTAAAAATGACATCCGTTAAATGGTTGACTCTGTTCGCCATTCAAAGTTGTAGACAGTTTCTAAAGTTTTCCCGGAAGTTCAAGCGCTTCGAGCTCTTCCGGGTGGCTTTATTTTAAGCGCTGAATCAGTGGCGCCGAAATTTTCAGCCCATCGCAGTATCGATTTTCTAGCCCGAATGCCGTCACTCCGACGTAAAACGAAATGAGCACAAAAAGCTCTGTTGTAATTACAGATTCACCAGAATGTTTCAACAGCAAACACACGGTATGCACCTGTTCAATCCATGATAGTAAATGATGGTATCTAAAAAAATAATAATGGTTAGACGGAGATACAACTGCTACTTGCTAAGTTTACCAACATCACAGTTTAAAATGTGGTCGACATGTATAGTTACGTCAAATTAAGTATCAGTTTATATCGATAAATCCCTAAAGGATGAAACATGTTACACGATTTTTTTTTTGATTTTTCCACTTTGTTATTAATCTTCCTCTCCTCCTCAGTCCGTTACAACCTGTCAGCGCGCGACTCTGCATGCGCGTATGTAATGTATATACATATGTCTGTGGCTTACAGTGTTTGTGGCATTTAATATACAATGCCCGCGCATACACATAATTTGACTGACTTTAAGATATGATATTTGGAAAAAAAAAAGAAGAAAGGATTTCCTCAACCACTCAGTCTGGATAACCCCTACCACTGGCTGAGCTATAAAATCAAAATGCCGGAGACCGTAAAATTAACGCAAAAATTTAAAAAGAAAATGTAATTGTAAGATTTTATTGAACTTTTCGGAAAGCATTCGGTAACAAATAGAAATATTTTAAAACAAGCTTAGTAGTATACATATGCAAACATTTTGAAAGAAATTGATATGCACATCTGTTTCGCAAGCGTTAAATTCCATTTCTGTCTGACAACAACCCCTGGATAATAGGAAAATATTACAAGTCCAATAATATTCATGACAACTTCTCTATTTAAATGGGTAAACAGGTCTATCTATCAATTGCTCTATTGCCTATTTATTCACCTACCTCCCTATCTATCTATCTATCTATCTATCTATCTATCTATCTATCTATCTATCAGATGCTCTCTGGCTATTGATTTTCCTATATATACTTTTATCGAGCTCTCTTCCTATCTATCTATCTATCTATCTATCTATCTATCTATCTATCTATCTATCTATCTATCTGACTATTTTTCTGTTCCTCTGTGGCTATCGCTTTGCCTATATATATATTTTTTATCTATCTATCTGTCTATTTATCTATCTATCTATCTGACTATTCTTCTGTCCCTCTCTGGCTATCGCTTTGCCGACATATTTTTTATCTATCTATCTATCTATCTATCTATCATTTGCTCTATTGCTATCGATTGTCCTATTTATCCCCCCCCTCTCTCTCTATTTAAACTGAGTATATTCTGGAATATTTTTAAATGGACAAACAACTTAGATTTGAAATTTGATCATTTTGCCGTCATCGAAATGAAAGGTACTGAACTAGTTTATATCATTTTTTTAGTTATTCCTTTGGATTTATTGGTTCATGGCAATATTTCATTTTAACGCGCAGGACAAACGTATGGAAATAGCTCTCTGAAGTATTAAAATATCTAAAGCTCTAATCAAGTTTGCTCTGAAGTCGGCGCAAAATATTCACTTTCTAACTTGCGAATGGCGCATCTCGATTTCACTTATCTTCTCCGGCATTCTTTTAGGAATTAGCAAAAATAATTCCGTTCATTTGGCGTCGAAATCAAAGTTCATCCCCCCAACACCCGTTTTTCCGAATCTATCTCACAAATCGGACTCACCAGCCAGTGTTGCGTGAAAGCGGCGACTTTAACGACAACAATTTGTTTTGGCCACCATTTGTTCCCCTCCTTAAAACGACAATATCAAAGGGTGCAACCATAAAAGAAAACAGTTATCTCCCTTTAGTGATAACGGCTTTGCAAAATATACATTGCTACAAATTACACACACACACACGCACATATACATATACATATAAATATATATATATATATATATATATATATATATATATATATATATATATATATATATGTGTGTGTGTGTGTGTTTGAGTGTGTGTGTGTTGAGCATGATAGGAGAGGTGCTGTTTGCATTTGAAAAGATTGTTCTTTGCTCTGCCAAAAGCAAAACAAACAAGCAAACAAAAATCAAGATAGAGCATCAATTATTTGTACATGGAAGGATTCAAATTGCTGACCATTCCTGCGTCGTAATAAAATGCTACAGCACAGACACACACACACACAGACACACACACACACACACACACACACACACACACACACACACACACACACACACACACACAAAAGAAAAGAGACACACAAAAATGATTACGTTAAATATATGAGATCAAAAGATTTCTTTAATGCCGACAACTGTTTATTTATAATTTCTTTCCAACCCCTAATACTACCGGGTAACATAGATAAAAAAAAACAAACAAAAAAAACAACAGACGCGTGCGCACAATCATATGTATTATACAGGAGCATATGTGCATGTGTGTGTGTGGAGGGGGGTGTTTGTATGCATTTCTGCCATATATGCATCTGTATGAAAAAGAATAAAAAAACTACAAACAAACTAATAGGATTACATAACGCAAATATTCGTCACTCCATCGTCATACATTGTTGCTTTCGTTTATGAAAGGAAGGTCTTTGTTATATATATATATATATATATATATATATATATATATATATATATATAGACAAATGTATCATTTAGATTTTCGATTTATTATTATTGAATTTCGACGTACAATGAAACTTTTCACACTGTAAGTTTTATAACCTTTCTTTTGCTTTCGTCTTTTTTAAAGACATTTGTTTGTTATATATTATTTCTGATTATTTTTTGCATCTGTCTATCCTCGACGATATATTAGCAAACAGAAACATATCAGCATTCACATCTTATTTATTAATCTCCATGAGAATATATATATATATATATATATATATATATATATATATAAAATAAATATATATATATATATATATATATATATATATATATGTATTTAGGTAACATATCTTCATTTAAACCCGTCCTGGGTATGACGATAAACTACATACACGTCCTGGGTAAGACGATAAACTATGTCCAACAGCAAGGACTCTGATCAGGAGGTACTGAGGAACTTGGAACCCCCTCTTAATTGCTGATGTTCCCAGGTCCACGCTGACCCGGGGTGGTAGCATCTGTTAGGGTCACATCTATGGGTAAATAGTTAACCCGCACAAACTGGGGTCAAAACATTATAAAAGTGTAAAAAATATGTTATTATTAGCAGCAATAAATTATTATCAGCTATACATTTTTTGAAAATATTACCAGTATATATTTTTTGGAAGAAAAATATTACCAGATATAGGTTTTTAAGAGAAAAAGGTTACCAGAAATACATTTTTGAAGAAAAAAATATTACCAGCAATACATATTTGAAGCAAATTATTACCAGAAATAAAAATTGTTGGCACGGCCACCTCGGCGTCGTGTAATGGTTAGCAAGTTTATCTCGCTAAAACAGTTACGAGTGAGTCCGATCCTCACTGGGTGTCACATGCCTGGTGCCACATGTAAGCTACGCTTAGAAAATCATTTGAGCACCTCGAGGCGGTGTAATGGTTAGCAAGCTTGTCTCGCTTGTCCAGTGAGTTCGATCCTCATTGAGAGATCCATACCATCGGCCTTGTACCACATCTAAGCAACACTTGGAGAATAACTATAAAAATTGTCGTCATTAAATAACCCATTGTGGTTGATATGCCGTAAAACAAAAGAAAACAAATCTTCATTCAAACATGTTTCATTGTGTTTGCTTATTTTCATACTGATCATTTCCATTTGTCTAAACAGTTTCTTGATGTTCAGATGAAATTCATCAAGGAAGATGAAGGGGATTTCCCTAACCAAATACTTTCGATCTTTACCAAGAATATCTTCAGGGATAAATTCCAAAGACAAGCTTATTGCAATTGCTATAAAAAACTCCATTCCCTTGTAATAGGGATTTTTAAAAACTTGCGCGAAAGCACACACTAATTATTTTAAAATTTAAAATTTTACCATTGAAGCTATATCCTATATGACGCACACACACATATATGTGTGTTTGTGCATATATATATATATATATATATATATATATATATATATATATATATATATATATATATATATATATATATAGCTAAACACTACAATCAATCAGGACACACATTAGAAAACTGCAAATGTTTATTGATAGATTCCGATTATACTTCCACATTCACACGCAGAAAAAAAGAAGCATATTAGATTTTAAAATTAAATACACATAAACTAGGGTTGAATAGGGACTTAGGTGTTTTAAATTTTTAATAAATATTTCAATAGTTAAGCAATTTTTTTTAGATATAGTAAAAAAATTTTTTTTAAACAACATTTAAAATATTTATGACAGTTAGATTTAAGTTAGGAATATCCGAACCGTGACGTTCCATATCACGTGACGTCCGCGTCTCGCGAAGGACGCTACTTGCTAACAAACAGTAATTTTAATTTATTTGTAACAAACATTTATTTCTGATAAAAAATTGAGGACAATTTGAAATATCAAATATATATATAAATAAATAAATAAATACTTTCATAAAATAAAACATTATTATTTTTTAATTTGAAACTTTTTCTATATATACATATTAAGAAAGTATACGTGGCTTCATTATGCTATATATATATATATATATATATATATATATATATATATATATATATATATATATATATATATATATATATATATATATGGATAAAGGCTTAGATTGAGAAATCGGAGAGCCGACGTCGAATTACAGACGAATCTATTATGTTTGCTTACGTGCTATTACCCTTGGAAAAGGTATGAGTACTCTTCTTCTCCCTCCAGCTATGGGTAAATAGTAGGACAGACTGGGTTCTATAGCCTTGGACAACAACTGGTCTAGGAGAAGGACAACTCTGAATTCAAACCTGTGGAGGGTCGTTTTGGGACCTTGTGGTACGTGGTGCACCAGGTCTCTGTATTCGGCCCTTCAAAAAGTGTGGATTTTTCTGCACAAAAACTTCACCACTATAATCAATTCTCATGTGTTGGTGTCGGGCAGTCAGTTTCCTAGGAACTGATCTGCTTGTCCCTCATACGTCGAATTCGACGGGAGAGTCGAGTATATATAGAGCGGTAGGGTGAGAACAAATGGAGTATAATTCCACTGTCCGTCACATTTAATTTAAAAGACAGTTCAATACAGATTAGAGCAAATATTATTTATAGTATGAGATTAAAAAAAAAAAAAAACATGTTGAAATCGCTACACAATGGAAATCGTGTTTCAACACTACAAATGTTTCTCCTCGGGCGATTGTAAATTACTAGTGAGTGAACGATTAATTTAATTTCAAAAGCACAATAATTACTCCTTTTTCGAGAAAAAAATTAAAATGAATCTTGTGCGTTTACAGTGATTAGCCAACGAAATGTGACCTACGTTAAATTCAAACTAACCTAAAAGAATTTATATAGGCCATGATATGAAGTTATCTGCAAATAGATCCTAGACAATTTCATTTGTTACAGATACAAATGATTACATTATTTCGTAAAATATAGAGAAATGTGACGTTCAACTTTCATAAAATTTTAAGGGGAAACGGTGACGAAGATAATCTAATATAATGTTAATTTGTTTTATGCTCGCTCAGCTTCCTACACAATATCTTATAGTTCATAATTAAAAGGTTTCTTTAAGAAACTGATAAATAACCGTAAAATTGAAATCAGATCATTAATACTTTGGTTAATTAATATGCAACCATTAAGTAAAGAGAATTCATATAAGATATTTATAATATAACTAACTAATCAATGTAATATATTAATAATTCTGACTACATGATGATAAAATAGTAAATAGACCTCAATACTGAGTTACATTAAATCTAAATGAATCTTACATAATACAATAGTAAACTATGCAAGATGTACTGCAGTTCATCTACTATTCATTACTATAAGAAAAATTATTATGAAATTCAAAGTTTAGCCATATTGTAAGGTAAAATGTAGACTATGCCTACAATTTACAGTAAATTCATTTCTTTACATATACATATATATATATATATATATATATATATATATATATATTGATTATTTTATATATTTTCTGTTTATATGTTATTTTTATAGATATAGAGAAAAATTGTCGAAAGTGAGTTTTTACAAACAGTAATTCGAATTTTGCTAACCAGACGCTCCTCTGTGGCTGAATAGTTAACACCACATCCGATCAAATAACGGTTACAGTTTCAATTCCTGTCGTAGTTGTTTGTTTTTTTTTCGTTACCGGCCTGAATATTTGCGTAAATTTGTTACGCGAATATTCAGGCCGGTAACGAAAAAAAAAAAAAAAACAACTATTTAAATAAATTATACCTATAAAAATTATGTATAAACATAATATATATATATATATATATATCTATATATATATATATATATCTCTCTATATATATATATATATATATGTGTGTGTGTGTGTTGTCATGTACCTAGTTTTTCATAAGCTATGGGTAAATTAGCAAGACTCGTATCATTAAAAAAAAAATATCTAAAAAATAATTAATAATATAAAATAAAATTGAGTATATATATTTATATTTCGGCATTAAATAATCCATAGAGTTTGATATACCGCTAAAAAAGAGCAAACAACCAACAATTTTCAGAATATATTTTTTGAAGGTATCGAAAATGTTTAG